CGCCTTCCATCCCCCCTCACCGCACGGCTTGCTTTCGTCAGAGCCCCAGACGGGGCTCTCTAGAATGCAGGCAGCCCCACTCAGGGCTGGGGGCCTGCCCCACACAATGTTCGGACTCACTGGTTGGCGTCAGGTGGCTTGTCATCCAAATTCTGGGTACTGCCGGTGCCCTGCTGCACCTCCCGGGAGCTGACCTCTGGTCCCAGGCTCCTCTTTTGGATTCCTGGTCCCTGGCATTGACCCAGATTCTGACCTCCCTCAGCTTTCAGGGGAGCCTGCCCACCCAGGCTTGTGCTCCAGGCCACGGTACCGCCTCAACCACGGCCTTGTCCCGGCTTCAACCCACAGTTTCGCCCACTTATACCCTGTGGTGGCTTGTGATGTTGTGTCCTGTATGATGTAGGGTTAGAGTTGAGCGCTGTGGTTCACATCCCTTCTCCAACACTGATACCCAGTGGAGACCCTCTCTGTGTCTCAGCTTCCTCATCCGTAAGATGGGGTAGTAAGACCTGTATCAAAAAGCTGTTTGGAGGAGGAGGAGGAGGAGGATGGTGAGTGTGTGTGTGTGTGTGTGTGTGTGTGTGTGTGTGTATGTGTCCACCACTTAAAACAGTGCCAAACCCTACCTGATGTGACAGCAAGAAATATTTTAGGCAGCCTTTTGAGCTGAACCTAAACAAATCAAAGTAAGAAGAGGAACCATAGGGCTTACTGCTTTTATCAGTGAGATTTCTTTTATGGTATAAGTTGACTTCACGTGAAATAGATGAAGGTGATGATGGAAAGAGTAGTAGGTGACAACTATTGAGCATTTTCTTCAGGCAGATGCCATGCTCAGCAGTATATTACCTAATGAAACTCCCACAACAACCCTGTGCTGCAGGTCTTGTAATTACCATTCCTGTTTTACAGATGAGAAACTGAGGCCTGAGCTAGTAAGTGGTGGGGGCAGGATTCAAACACAGGACCGGCTTCCGGCCGAGTCCACTGACGGGCACATCCTGACCAGTTCATTTATTCAAAAGACCAAGGGGGTGGCGGTTGGTGGTGACCAGGTACAGGATGCCATTTTACTTCCCTTTCTTCCGAAAAGATTCGATAGATGTGAAGGATTTTGAGGAGGTTTTATCGTCTTTTCGTGAAGGATTTATAAACTAGGCATTACGGGTGTGGATTGCAAGTGTTCTAACGTATTGTGACTTAACAAATAAAACCTGTGTCAGAGGGTGACTTGGATTTGTCTTTTCCCGGCTAGGGTAGGAGCTGTCTGTGGGGTAGATGCATTAGTAACAAATCTCTTTCCTATCTGAATAGTAATTCAGTTGACTTCTAAAACTTTGACAGTGAACCCATTTTGACTGATATTGATAGCGTAAGAAATGTGTGGCAGCAGAGATACTAAAACGAACCATGTGTTTCTTCCTAGGAAGAGCTGAGGCTTTTCAGGAGGGGAAACTGGAGACAGAATTCTAAATGTCCTGTCAGTTCGTTCATTTAGTCTTAATTTTCTTTCTCAGAGGGGAAATTGCTCAAGACCGTTTGGATCCATTCAGTTCACTTAATTCGACCATTCTTGGATGTTTTCTTCTTACACTTTATAAATTGAGCCATTCGAAATGGTTAATTGTGTCCGATCCGTTGTTTTCAGCCAGTTGGAGCTGCGGTGTTTAATAGCAAATGGAAAGATGTGTCATTTTGGTCGATTCTCTTTGGTTTCACAAAGAGATGTGGTGGGATGTCCAGTTGGTTTCCAGGGTTAAGTTATTCATTCGGGAAATACTGAGTTCAGGGTTTTTTTTTTTTTTTTTGTTTTGTTTTGTTTTTTAATCTTTCAGTTTATTGTTAAAGGTGACTCTTGTCATGAGTGTCATGGTGCTTTCACCTGGTGTGTTTCTTTTTTTTTTTTTTTCAATATATGAACTTTATTGTCAAATTGGTGTCCATACAACACCCAGCGCTCATCCCAAAAGGTGCCCTCCTCAATGCCCATCACCCACTTTCCCCTCTCCCCACCCCCCATCAACCCTCAGTTCTCAGTGTTTAAGAGTCTCTTATGGTTTGCCTCCTTCCCTCTCTATAACTTTTCCCCCCCTTCCCCTCCCCCCTAGTCTTCTGTTGAGTTTCTCAGGATCCACATATGAGTGAAAACATACGGTATCTGTCTTTCTCTGTATGGCTTATTTCACTTAGCGTCACACTCTCCAGTTCCATCCATGTTGCTACAAAGGGCCAGATTTCATTCTTTCTCATTGCCACGTAGTACTCCATTGTGTATATAAACCACAATTTTTTTTATCCATTCATCAGTTGATGGACATTTAGGTTCTTTCCATAATTTAGCTATTGTTAAAGCGCTGCTATAAACATTGGGGTACACGTGCCCCTATGCATCAGCACTCCTGTATCCCTTGGGTAAATTCCTAGCAGTGCTATTGCTGGGTCATAGGGTAGGTCTATTTTTAATTTTTTGAGGAACCTCCACACTGTTTTCCAGAGTGGCTTCCTGGTGCATGTTTCTTGAAGAAACACCTCTGGAGGAAGACAGGGTGTGCATCATCACGTGGGTGTAAGAAATGAACGTTGGAAAGAACTCAGAAGACTGACCTGGGTTTTCATCCTGGTTCTGTGGCTCTGTTGTCTCATTTCTAAAAGGGGAACATCGGATTGGATCATCTCTAATGCTCTCTTTTTTAAAAAATTATGGAAGGGGCATGGGTGGCTCAGTCGGTTAAGCGTCCGACTCTTGGTTTCAGTTCAGGTCCTGTTCTCACGGTTCGTGCGATTGAGCCCCAAGTTGGGCTCGGCACTGACAGCGTGGGGCCTGCTTGGAATTCTCTCTCTCTCCTCCTTTCTCTGTCCCTCCCTTGCTTTCTGTCTCTTTCAAAAGTAAATAAACATTAAAAATTATGGCAAAATACATCTAACGTAAAATTTACGGTCTTAACCATTTCTAAGTATACAGCTGAGTATCGTGGAGTGTATTCATGGTGTTCGTGCAAACGCCCTTCAGGTCTCTTTTCACCTCACGAAACTGAAACCGTCCCCATTAAACAGCTCTCTGTTCTCCTCCCCCGGCCCCTGGCAACCACCCTTCTACTGTCCGTTTCCGTGAATCGGACTACGCCGTAAGTGGAATAGTACAGTACTTGGCTTTTTTGTGTCTGGCTTATGTCACGTAGCGTGATGTCCTCAAGGCACATTGGTGTTGTAGCATGTGACGGAACTCCCTTCCTTTCTGAAGCTGGATAATATTCCGTGGTGCGTCTACGCCATATTTTCTTTACCCACTCCAGTGCTACTTTTAGATCGAAACTTTCGAATTTTCGGTGATCCTCAGCTGCCAGCCAAAGCTGTGGAGCAGGCGGTGTGGCCGAGGGGTGGGCAGCAGGTTAAGAGTGAAAGCCGGGTAGCATGTCTGGTTCTCAGGCGGGTGCTGCTTCTCCAGGGGCGGGCTGTTGTCCTGGCCAACGGTGGCATTGAGAGCGTGTGGAAGATGCAGTGAGTCTATACCTGCTGGCTTATGATAACCCGGCTCTGGTTCAGCACAGGTAGAGAAATGGCTTAAGTGTTCCAGCACTTTTTAGGTTTTTTTTTTTCCCCCCCAAACGTCTGTATTTTATCAAGATTAAGTGACGTGTCACTGGATCCCGAGGCATAACAAATGAGTCCATAATAAGTATGGGGTTCTTCTCCACTCAGTGGTATTTCTATTCTTGAGACAAAGATCATTTCAGGAAATGCTGCCAAAGGTAGACACTCTCCTGTGTTTTGCTCTCTCTCCTCCCTGTCTCTTGTCATGGTCCCTTTGGCGTTTTGAGAGGATACATCTCTGTGTGGCTGTATCTTGGCTTTTAAACTGTTCCCAGTTTTGTTGGCAAAGGCTTACAAGTACGTTTCTCGTTGCAGTCTGTGAAGAAAATTGAAGGATGTCTGCCGCTGCCCAATTGTTATAATTATGGCAAATGGCAGTCGAAAGCAGAAAAGGCAATTAGAGAAAAAATTCCTTCCTGTCTGCTGGAGAAGACAAGGAAAATGGCAGATTTAGCCGCTTACGCTTTGCACTTTGTCAGAGAAATATTGTTTTTAATGTTTATTTGAGAGAGAGAGAGAGAGAAAAAGTGTGTGTGTGTGTGTGTGTGTGTGTGTGTGTGTGTGTTGGGGGAGCAGGGGAGGGGCAGAGAAAGTGGGAGAAAGAATCCCAAGCACGCTCCCCGCTGTCAGCGCGGAGCCTGATGTGGGGCTCCATTTCATGAGCCATGAGATCATGACCTGAGTTGAAATCAAGAGTCCGACACTTAACCGACTGAGCCACCCAGGAGCCCCATCGGAGAAATCTTTCAGGAACCCCTCCCCTGATCTACCCGGGATCAGGAACAGGTATTTCTTTGCTCACGTCCGGATTTCTATGTCCAGAGCTCTGCTCTAAGAAGCCCCTTCTGTGCTCCTGAAGTCTCATGAACCAAAGGCTGAGTGCCCCCTGGGGCCTTGCTTAGGCCCCCAGTGCTGCTCCTCAGGTGGGAGAGAACATGGCGGTGATGTTCTGGATGACAGTACGTCTGAGCCCACGAGATGATAAATACCATAATTCGTGGAGGTCCTCTTCATGGGAAACACACACTGGCGGCATCGATACGGTCTCTGTTTGGTTTGCCATGCTTTTGAGTTTACGGGGCTTTAAGTGAACTCTCCCAAGACCAGGGGGAACCACTTAAGTGTTAGCTCCATTTTACACAGGAGGCAAGAGGCCCGGTAACCTGCCCAAAATCACGGAGGAAAGGGGTAGCCCCGTAGGAGGCTCCCACCAGGAGGCAGAAGTACATTGTTGCTCCCCTCCCTCCTAAGTTTTCGTCTGTTTCGTTAGGGAGCACTGTCAAGCGCTCGTCGTCCGCGTCGTCCCCAAACGTTGCTGCGTGCCGTTCATATGTATTTGGCATTTTGCTAGCTATGGTATACGACGAGACTTACCTGACTTACCTTCTTCTCTTTTGTCTAAAATACAGAATTTGGAGAGAGGTGGTATCTCAAGGAAGAGTGACGTAGGTAAGTAATGATTTTTTTTTTTTTTTTTAACTTATGAGTATGTGCCCAGGTACGTTTCTTATAAGTTATATTTCAGTGAAGTGAATTTCTCCTTCTGATTTTATTTATGAGGTGAAGATCGCTGTGCAAATGTTCTGGTCTCTCCCGAAGACACGGGGAGAACACTTTTCAGATTGACATAGTGGCTCGTGATTTGTATTGGAAACGACAGCTCGTATGTTAGATTTGATGTCCTTGGCCACCATTTGGTGAGTTTCCAATGAGGGCAGATGGCTATGCGTGGTGGCGGCTGTGGGGCCGCAGAGGTGAGCAGGGCGCAGTGTCTGATGTGAGAGGCCCCCTGACCTCGGCCTGGAGCCAGAGTCACTTGTTGACGTGTAGACACTGTTTCCCCTACAGGTTAGCTTGCCAATCACTTCTGTCAAACCCATCCCGAGAACCCTGGCACAGAAGCAGCGACTTGTGACTTTGTGGACACCCCTGCACTTCCATCCCGGCCTGTGCTCACCCTATTTTGTCCTCCCTTTCAGGATATTGTAAGCATCTTCAAAAATGTAACCACGACATCAGTTTCTCCTCCTCCTCCTCCTCCTCCTCCTCTTCCTCCTCCTTCTTCTTCTTCGGCTGTGAGAAATATGCCTCAGTGTGTTGATGAGAGCATAAGACTAATGTCTGCATGTTGGGTCTCTTCCCAAAGGGTGTGAACTTTGTCGACGTCAGTCATCCCAGGGTAGGCCATGGAGACCTACAAGGTGGGCCTTGGACAGGAGGGGAAGGGTACACTTTCCTCTCTAGGCCTGCCTTGTGTGGGGCTGGGCTCTGCAGGGTCTAGATGGCAGGAGAGGCTCCCCGGGTGGAAGGGGCAGGATGGCCTGTACTGGGGCCCGGGCATGCAGGGGACCACGGGGGCATGGGTCGGAGACTTCAGCTCTGAGACTGCGTATTTAAGGAGCGACATTGGGTCATTGCCTTTTCTTTTTTGTATTACGACACCCTGTATGGCTCAGCCACTCCTCCCCACGTGGAGATGTTCTGTCAGCTGTCAACCCTTGTGGGTTGGGCATTTGTTTATTCTATGGGAGCTGATAGGGCTCCTTATAGAAAATGGTTATTAAATGAACTAATGATGCTAGTCTGGAACATGGGCTTGAAAGTGCCAAGGGGAAGTTGCCTGGATAAGTAAGTCAACATCCTTGCTATGACAAGTGGTCAAATCTAGTGATACGTACCTTGGTATCAGCATGTCCGAACAAGACCCAGGAGGCTTATTTGCCCACAGGGTTAACATGGGTCTGCAGGCCCCGGGTGGGGGGCCTACAAAAGCAGCCCTCCCAGAAGGATCAGAGTCGTGGCAGACTCCCAGGGCAAGGAGGCCTGCTTTCTGTTTGGGCTCACTGCCTCATCAGTAGATTCATGGGTGAACGTCATTCTCACCAAGTAAAACACAATTGGAGTGGCTGTGTGTGTGTGTGTGTGTGTGCGCGTGTGTGTGTGTGTGCGCGTGCGTGCATATTTAAGGTCTCTAGTGCTTTCGCTTTTATCAGAAGAACCCCACGCTATTTCCTGTCACCATGAAATCCGTGTTTCTAGATGACGTCTGACCAGGAAAGACTGGCGCTTAGTAGAGCGGTTGGCACGTGATAGGTGCTCAGCAGCTGAAGAATAGAGAACCTTTGTTTGCTTTTTCTTCGAAGAATGATTGTTTCTCCCTCAGGGATCTTCTCTGACCACCTCCTTGGTTCTGTCACCTTTCCTTAATGCTCTGCAGCTCACCCTTGGTCTCAGAACCACAATGGTCCTTTCCTAGCCTTGACTGACTTCCTTTTCTTCCTTTCTAGACCAGTATGCCCCTCATTATTGTCAGGCATTTAGCGTACAACCCATTTCTTCTACCTTCCTGGAGGAGAGCAAGGGCAATCCGTCTTGAGTTGTGACGGTGTTTGCTGATGGCAGTGACTTCAGAGAGGTTCAAGGGAAGTGATGAGGAACCAGTAGGATTGTCTTATTTAGCTCCACTGACTGGGCAGTGGGAGCTCAGGAGTCAGAGTGTGGGGGCAGCACAGGCAGAGAAGACCGCGGCCAAGGTGGGCCCTGGGGTCTGGACTCAGCCAGAATGTGACCCAGTTTGGGGGGCTTAGGATCTCTGTCAAGCAAAATATTTCTTGCAGCTGCTGTAAAGAACATCAGTAAATTAAGTGTACAAGTGATTTTCAGCACCTAACTGTGCTAGCCTGTTTGTTTGTTTGTTTGTTTGTTTGTTTTTCCTGGAGTGGAGGTGGCGCTGAATGGCATGTCATTGCTTTTCTGTCATTCATTATTAACAGGGCTTTAGGAACTGGGTTGGGTAGACCCGTACTTTTTTGTCTCCTCACTAGTAACTGCCCCATGTGCATCCGACTTCCTAGCCATACCTGTTACTGTGTTCAGGGCCATAATTCCCCTTGCTGTCCCCAGCCTTCACCGTTCCCTCTGTCGGGAAGGTCCTCCCATCCCTTCTTGGGGCATCCCCAGGACACAGTGTCCCTGTCCCTTCTTCTGGGAAGGCCCCACTCTCTGGGATCCCGGATGGCTCTGTGGCCCTTCCCCAGTTTGAAAGCTGTTAATCTCTAGCTCCACCCTCTTAGTGTGGCGCTTGAGATCTGGCTGAGCCAGCCTCCCTCTCTAGACCCAGCTTCCCTCTCTAACTTTATCGTGGACTGTTCCCGTCATCTTTTTCTCAGAAATGCTTGACAGATTCACCTACTCCTGATGCTGCAGAGATAAGGCGGGCCGTGGGCTCTGTGATAACCCCACTTCCTTCTCTGCCACTGGTCTGCTGCCCTCTGTGCCCGAGTCTGCAGAAAATTGCTGCATTTTATTTATTTATTTTAAATTTAAAAACAGTTTTTAAAATTATTTTCTTATTTTGAGAAAGAGTGCAAGTGGGGGCGGGAGGGGGGTGGGGGGAGAGAGAGAGAGAGAGAGAGAGAGAGAAAGAGAGAGAGAATCCCAAGCAGTTTCCACATGGTCAGTGCACAGAGCCTGACACGGGGCTTGAACCCGTGAAACCGTCAGATCATGACTTGAGCTGAAGTTGGATGGTTAACCAACTGAGCCACCCAGGTGCTCTGAAAATTGCTGCATTTTAAAGGGAACTCAGGAAAGGCCCCTTTCCAGGAGCTCTGCTTGCACATGTCCCCCCCCTCTGTGCTCCCTCAGTTTTGCACTTGGCTCCATATTGGAATGGCTGCCTTCTGCACTAGACTCAGTCCCTGATGTGATGGGGCTGTGCTTGCTCACCCCTGTGTGCCAGAGCCTCGCACTCAGTACAGGCTTCGAGATGTTTGCTGGGTGAGTGCACCTAGCATGCGTGATCAAGGCATGAGCAAAAGGAAGGTGATGATTTCTTAGATGCAGAAAAAACAAATACAGCTCATAGCACACGACTCGGGCATAAGCAGAGGGGAATAACTCACTTTTCTTCTTCTTGCAAAGCCTCTTCTCCACATGGAGGAACTGTTGTCTTTGTGGGAACAGTGGGAGTTTTGCTGATCTGGTAGAAGAAATGGCAGGAGTTGATTACTGCAGGATTAACGTTTTGGCAGATGGATTTGCTCTTTTAAAACCTCTGTTATGAATTATTGTGAACATACAGGAAGCTACAAAGAGTAATACAATGATATCCAGGTAGTTACCGCCTAGTTTGAGGAATAAAATACTCCTAACACAGCTGAAGCTTTTTTACTATTATCTCGATATGGTGTTTATAGCATTCTCATGTAATCTTTTATATTTTTACATCATACGTGATATATATGCATCCATATAGTATATATCCATCTTCTATATATTTGTGTGTATCTTTTCACAAACGATTGATTTATATGGTTGTGCCTTTGTGGCTTTTTTTTTTTTCCAGTCTATACGACTCATCTATAATATCCATCCGGATCGATGCAGTTTTTATTGCTGTATAGTATTCTAATTTGTGTATCTTGTTAGCGGGTTTTGAGTTGCCTCAGATTTTTTCCTTTTACACCGTCCTGCTGTGAGCTCTCCTGTCCTATATCCTTGTTTTTACACATATGCAAGTTTCTCAAGGATGATTAGTAGGAGTGGAGTTTCTGGGTCATTGGGAATGTGGATCTTAAGCCCTATTAAATTTTGCAAAAATCATTCTCTGAAGTTTATTCCATTTGTAACAAAAGCAAGTCTTTGTCACCCCTTTTTTGATATGTCACTTACATTAATGTTTCAGATGTAGTAGATTGAAAATTACATTTCAGTTGAAATATAAGACACCCGTTTAAGGCTTATCTGTGTGTCCTATTTATAGAGCCAAGAAGCTGATTTGAAATAGAGGTAGGTATGTGGAATGTTCATATGTATATAAATTCCTAAAGGAAAAGAATTAGGTCATATTCAGTAGGTTGTTGAGCATTTCCTTTTAAATTTTTTATTGAGTCTTAACCAAAGAGCATTTTGGCTTATTTTTAGGATCTAGATGGCTCATTGTGGAGCTATTTGTTGTATGAATATCGGAGTGAGTGAATAAATGAGTGGAACTATAGAACTGAACAGAAGAGCAATAAAATATAATGGAATAAAATTAAAACCAGATTATGTCCCTGAGTCGAGCTGTTAAAGGGAAAGGCACATGGCGGGGGTCAGGTCACCACGTTCGTTGCTGTAAACCTGGCTGGAGGCAGTGGTTTACGTGAAGTCTGCCTTCTGCCAACACACGATGGCCGTTTCTATGTGTTGCTTTATTGCAAGCTCAGAACCTCATGTGCTTCTCCGCCGTGGGGACTGAGCAACCCTCTTCACTGGCAAGACCTCCGATAGTCGTCCCCGGTCAGGTGGGCCTAGCATGCGAGGTTTCCTACTTTGCTAGCCGTTGCAAGAAAGTTGGCCGCCCTGAGGTGAGTCTCTAGACGGCTGGCAAATATTTCCAGTGTTGTTGGAGACGGACTTTTATGCCACGCTTCTTGCTAACGCCCTGCTGCTGTGGAATTGTGGCTGTTTTCCTGGAGATAACACTTCATTCGGGCTAGGTGCCTCGTGAAGCAGGGTAGAGATTATTGGGTTATTTATTTGCAAGCTCTTGTGAGCTCATGGGACAGAAGCAGCCACTGGTGAATGTCACCTTGAAGAGTCATCCAGAATATTCTTGAGGTAGTGCGTACGTCTGCGAGGGCTGCTAAATCGAGGTACCGCCAGTTGTGTGGCTTAAACAGCAGAAATCTGCCTCACAGTTTCGAAGGGTAGAAGTCTCCGATCAAGGGGCGGGCAGGGGTTGCTTTGTTCTGAGGAACTTTCTCCTCGGCTTGTAGATGGCTGTCTTCTCCCTGTGGCTTTGTATCATCTTCCTTCCGTGCGTCTGTGTCCACATTTTCTCTTTTCACCAAATATGATCAGGTGAGCACCTCCACTAACGACCTCACTTTACGTCGATTACCTTTGTGAAGACCTGGGTCCAAATAAGGTCACATTCTGAGGTCCTGGGCATCAGGACTCCAGCATACGCAGTTTGGGAGACATGCTTCAACCCGTAACAGCAACAACAGTACAATGGAGGATAATGTGGAAATTTTTGGAAGGCTCGTGGCAGACAAGATTCTCAGCTGCTGGGGAGGCTAGTGTTCTAGACATTCTCATACTTTCTCACGTTCGTAGTCATTCTTTGGACAGATGTCCGCAGGCGCGGACTCACGGTTTGTTACCACGGGTTTGATCTAGGACAGCGAACTCATTTACCTGCTCACTTTTTTTTTTTTAACCTGCTCACTTCTAAGGGAGGATGTTTCAGAGATCAGTGTGAAAAGAGATTTTGTCACTGTGATTACATTTAAATCGATTTTTCCCCCCCTAAGAGTTTATAGCCTGAAGGCTTGCCTTGTTTTTAAGTTTATTTCAGTTGCTGAAAAATAAATACCTGAAAAAAAATTTTTTTTTCCCTTTGGTTCTAGATTTAAAAGGAATTGTATTTGTCATCCAGAGTCAAAGTAATTCTTTTCATGCAAAGAGAGCAGAACAGTTAAAACAAAGCATCTTAAAGCAAGCGGCAAATCTTACACAGGTAGGTAGTGGTGGCTGGGATGTCTGCTCCTTACTTCTTTGTGGATACATTTGTGTTTTCCAAAGTACTCCATCTGTAGAGAATTAGTTTCATTCAGATGAAACTAACTCGTCTGACTTGTTTTGCCTATTTAATATTGACTGGTGTTTAAAATGCCCTAGTTAATTCCTAATGCTCCAAGCATCATCTTCTAAATTTTTCTGATTTTGTTAAATTGAAGAGACTTATGTAATTGTGTGGGACTGTTGTGGTTTTGCCATAAAGTATGAGAAAAAGAAGTGGAAGGAGTAACATTTTAAAAGCAGGGCTTAAAATAGCAGAGATAATTAATGTTCAAAATCTTAGTACCAGGTTCTAAGGCAATTTTCATGTTGAAGTAACATTTTCATTAACCTCAGTGTGATGTTTCCTCCGTGAGTCTCTTAATCTCTTTTTTTAATTGGATATCATTAATTGAGCCTTTGAGTTGATTTGTACTGTAATATCCAAGAAGGATTAAGAAGAGAAAGATCGACCCATGCAGGTACATTTTAATAGTATTTAAAATAGGCACGAACCGAATCTAAAGCTGTTACGAGTAGGGCTGGTAGGTTGAGTAAAGGAAGGAAGACCTACCTTCTTCTCTTCCCACAGAGGTGCTTTCTTCTTTAGCCGAGCAAAAAAAAAAAAAAAAAAGAAAAAGAAAAAAAAATTCCTCCAAGCCTACTCGCCACACTGCATTACCATGGCCTTCAAGACAGAAGTGCTTGTCTGTAGATAAATGCCATCCCTCAGCTCTCTCGGCATCGCTTTGACGGGAAATGTGCTTTCTTTCTGTTGGTGGGTGCTGGGATAAATAAAGGATTGGAAATATCAATGGAAAAATTAGCAGCCTTAATGGGATTCAAGGCAGAGACGCTGCTGAGAATAAGGTTTAGTTGTGCTTAATCTTTAAATGCTTTACATATACAATTCAACCTCCCAGCATCCTCGTGGGGACGGGTCCTTTGTTTCCCTACTTGGAGCATTGTACCTTCTCGAGGGAGACAAAGACTTACGTGCCAAAAGCAGATTGGTGTTTTTTTTTTTTTTTTTTGGTAACTGGCTCTAGGAGCAGCTTGATGCGTTTAAAATTCTTCCTTGTCTGGAAACCCAACTTTTGGAGATTTTCTTCTACTAAACCTTGTCTGATTTCATCAGAGAGGCAGACGTGCGGCAACCTCGACTGGTCTTCCGTTCGCTCTGGTAAAGGCAGAGTGGAGCTGCTAAGCCAAGGCCGCGGCGGGGAGGATGGGGAATCGGTAGCCTGAATAATCCCTCACTTGGGTCCAGGCAGGCGTTAATGGAATTTTGCTCAGTCGGGCCTTGGCAGTTACCCCAAATCGTGGAAGCAGTGATGACATCAGGACAGAGTTATGTGTGGCTTACTCATATATGAATTAAGAGCATGTGTATCCCTACGTGCCCGTAGGTGTCCTTGCTCTCAGAAATACCTTCCCTCTTGGGGCGCCTGGGTGGCGCAGTCGGTTAAGCGTCCGACTTCAGCCAGGTCACGATCTCGCGGTCCGTGAGTTCGAGCCCCGTGTCGGGCTCTGGGCTGATGGCTCAGAGCCTGGAGCCTGTTTCCGATTCTGTGTCTCCCTCTCTCTCTGCCCCTCCCCCGTTCATGCTCTGTCTCTCTCTGTCCCCAAAAAATAAATAAACGTTAGAAATACCTTCCCTCTTACAGAGGCAGAGTCATGTGGTTTCGATTCTGTGTCTCCCCCATTTACTCCAGGTGATTCGGCTTTTGCTTCCTCCGTTGCACCTTAAACCCAGAGGGCAGGTCAACATAGGGCAGTTGAATCGAATCCAGAGGAAGTTAAACAAATTAAGAGTAAAACTTACTTTAAGTAGATTATGTTACCCGTTTGAACATTTTTTTTTTTGTTAATTCTTAAATTGATAGTGGTCAAAACCCCTCTCCTATTAACTAGAATAGCTATTTGACCTCTCCCAGTGAAACTAGAGTGTAGGGAAATGAGTAAAGAAATGGAGTCTGAGTTGGGGCTAGGAGAATGGGATCTCATGGGTGAGTGAGTCTTTGAGGGACCATGTGGAAGAGAAGAAGAAAATTCACTGGACTGCTTTAACACAGACGACATGGCCATGGTTTAAGGAAGGTGGAGATGCACTTCCCCTCACGAATGGTTGGGTTAGTGGGTGGGCTGGGGGTGGGCAGCTCAGCTCCAGATTCCTTCTGTTTTCTTATTTTCCCATGGGGCTGGGGTGTCTTGTCCTCCCTGGCATGGTTGGAACTGATTTACCCCCACTACGTTCACATTCCAGGGTGTGGAGGACAACCAGTTTCCTTTTAGGGATGTGACCTTGAAGTTGTACACATCATTTCCCCTACATACCATTGTCCAGGACATAATCACATGGCACACTGAGGCTGGAAAGGGTAATATCTAGTCGGTGGCCTTTGGGTCCACTCAAAACTCAAGGAGCTCTAATCACTAAAAGGAAGAAGAGACAAAGTGACATCTCTGCTAAAGTCAGGATTTTGTTTACACATCAAGGACTCACATTCCAGCATCGTGCCTACAGCTGGCAGTACTCCGTCCTACGCTTAAAAGTTGTAAGAGCCCAGAGCCCGTGTTAAGTGTTCTTTCCACACAGCATGATAAAAACAAGTAAATGAAAAATTAGGTACTAGTGTGGTTAAGGAAGGGGAGAGGGAGCCGGGAGGCTTTCTCTGTCGACAGCCAGCTCAAGGCAGCAGCGTGTTGTGCAGGAGGTGGGCAGTGTGGGTGCCAACCTGGAAGGTCAGGTAGGGACCACAGAGGAGCTGTGTGTCCTGTTAAGGACCGAGACCTTTCTCAGGACCTCTCAGGATGCCCTCTGGGCATTTGAGAAGTGTTTCTTAGAGATCCAAGACATGACAGCACATGCAGGAGGAGCCCGCAGTCACTGTTACTGAAAGCACCCCCCGGGGGGAACATGACTGGTAGGGAGAGCCATTAGGCTCAACCCGTTGGGTCTGCGTTTAAAGCCGTCACTCTGGTGGTTGTGAGGAAGGCAGCTGAGCAGACCCAAGACCGGGGCAAGGAGCCTGATCTAAGGTCCTTGGACCCATCCAAGCTAACGTGGCCCGAAATGGGGGTGTAGACCGCTGCTGGTGCTTTGTCACAGGCAGTTTGGGAAGTGCCGGGCCGGGGGTGAGGAGTGGAGCTGGGGGGAGTGGGGGAAGTAGGGGGTGATTTGAAGCCACACCCGGGGAGTTTGGGCGAAGGCCTCAGGAGGCATCAGGACCAGTGCCCCGCTAGGTCTGGTGTGGAGGGACGGAGCTACCATCTGAGGTGGAGGATGGGATTGGCAGGTTTGCAGGGTGCAGATGACTTCCGGTTGCTATAGATGAAGTCTCAGGTGGAGGTGTCAGCTGCCCGAGCCTGGATTTTGTTGGCTTCAAACTCAGGAGAAACCTTTGACCCGAAGGTGGTGGATTTGGAATCGGGAACGTACCCAGGTAGTAGCTGAAAGCCTGAGGGTGCTGCTTTCAGGGGAGCAGTGGGAGCCTGGGAAAAACCAGGATCTGGGGGCCTGGCAGAGTGGGAGCAGTTTCTGGGGAGACAGAAGGAGTGCGTGAAACACAGAGAAGGTGCGTTGTCTGATGTCAGGGAACCTGAAGGAATAGCCTTTCAAACAGCGATCAATACTACTATCCTGTTCCCAAGACAGAGCTTGTAAGAGAGGGTCTCAAAACGTCCATTTCACTGGGTTCGTCTTGTGCGCCTGTCCTGCCTGCACACTTACCTCGGGAGTCATCCACACCCAGAGTGCTTTGCTGTCGCAGACGCTGTTGTTATTGTTATTCTTCATTGTGGTAAGAAAAAAAAAATTACATAAAATTTGCCCGCAGACGTTTTTAAGTACTGTAAAGTACATTCACGTTGTGTGACCAACTTCCAGAACTTTTGTCTTTCCAACGGAAACTTCATACCCGTTAAACAACAATTGTACATTTCCTTTTCCCTCACCTCTTGGCAACCACCTACTTCCGCTTTGTCTCTGTGAATCTGACTGCTCTATGTACCTCATATAAGTGGCATCTTAACAGTATTTGTCTTTTTTTTTTTTTTTTTTTTTTTTACCGGCTTATTGTACTTAGTGTGGTAATGTTGTCAAGAGGTTCATCCATGTTGTAGCCTGTGACAGGGCCTCCTCCCTTTTAAGTGGCAGGCTCCACGCTCGGTGCGGAGCCCGACTTGGGGCTCGACCTCACGACTGTGAGATCACGAACTGAGCCAAAATCAGGAGTCAGGTGCTCGACTGACTGAGCCCCCCCCAGGTGCCCCTGCCTCCTTTGTAAGGCGGAATATTATTATTGTTACTTTGACAGCCTCTCCTCCGTGTCTTCTCTGGTAACCTTGGTCTACCATGACGGCTGTTTTCATCCACAGGCACTACTTTCTGGGGTGCTCTTTTGGTATTCCGCATGGGCTCCCCCGCAGTGCCCTTTCTCCTCTCGGGCATCTGTCCTGCCTTCAGAATCTGGAGGGAGGCAAGACCTCTGTACCTCTTCTTGTCTCCCCCTGTGGCACCTAGCATAATTCCACACACCGACAGTGTTAGGCACTGTTATTTTCACGGATGCGTTTTTCTCAGCTTTTAAGGCTTAGAAAGCAGTTCCATTTCACTGAAGTGTATATCTCTTCTAGCACTTTAATTTATGCTTGTGTTTTCAGTTTGCTTATACTTAATTTCCATTGTCCTTCACGTTTACAATTTGCAGTTTTAGACATGTTTAGTAGGTGCCTTCGATTGCCACTAGGTGGCAATGTTGGTTTTACGTTTAAAGACCCGTAATTAAGCAACATCATTAAGCAAACCCTTCTTTTCCAGCATTTAATTTCTGTGATAATAAATGGAGTCTAGACTAAAGCAATAAAGAAGCTTCCCTTTAATTGTAAGGTAGTCTATTTTTCTTATTCTGAAACTCTTTCCTAGGATGGAAGTCAGCTACGAATATTGAGGTAGTT